GGAGGCTGTTGTGCGAACAGAGCAGGGGAACACTGAATGGTTTAAAATTGAGAAGGGAATGCATCAGGGTTGTATTCTCTCTCCACACCTATTCAGTCTGTATGCTGAGCAAATAATCTGAGAAGCTAGACTCTATCAGGATTGGAGGGAGATTCATCAACAACCTGCATTATGCAGGCAACACAACTTTACTTGCTAAAAGTAAAGAGGACTTTAAGCACTTATTGCAGAACGTCAAGAAATGCAGCCTTCAGTATGGATTGCATCTCAATGTAAAGAAAACAGAAATTCTTACCACTGGACCAATAGACAGTGTCATGATGGATGGAGATGAGACTGAGACTGCCAACAGCTTCATCTCTCTTGGATCCACAGTTGACACCATTTAGTAGCCAGGAAATAAGGAGACACATTAAATTGGGAAAATCTGCAATTAGGGATCTCTCTAAATTATTGAGGAGTCAAGATGTCAGTTTGAGAACTAAGGTACGTCTGATTCAGGCATAGTCTTTCTGATTACTTGCTATGCATCTGAGAGTTGGACAATGAATAAGGATGACAGAAGAAGAATTGATGCTTTTGAGCTGTGGTGTTGAAGAGCACTGAACATCCCATGGATGGCCAAGAGAATGAACAGATAAATCTTGGAGAGCGTGCAGCTGGAGTGCTCTTTGAAGTGTTTATTCCTGCTATACGTAACTTTTTTCCTTTTTAAAATTTTCTACTAGTTTATTTACAAAATTCAAATACATTGTTTTCAAGAACAAATTCTTTTAATTTCCCTCAACCTGATGATTAATACCCCCATCCCCCTGCATATCCATATCCCTCTACTTCCAACCTCTCCCACCCTTCTTGGCTCCTTATACTCATTTTACAATAATGGTTTTATACAATATTTACCCTTGTGAAACTGAGTTAGTTCACTCACCATAATGCTCTCCAGTCCCTCCCAAGTTAGGTAATAATTTATAAAATAATTTCTCCTGCATGCTGGATAGTATTCTATTGTGTGACTGCACCATAATTTCTCAACCCATTTGTTTGTGGTTGGACATTTGGGCTGTTGCCATCTTCTTTTTTTTTTTTTGTTACCATCTTGTGGTGGTAAATAATGCTGCAATGAACATTGGCGTACAAATCTCAGTTTGTGCCTCAGTTCTCATTTTTTCAGGGTATATTCTTTTATCTATCATCTATCTATCTATCTATCTATCTATCTATCTATCTATCTATCTATCATTATTATTCTTAATTTCAATGAACATATACAGAGATTTTGGAATTCCATTCATTGTTGCACTTTTCTCCCCAACCACCCCACCCCCACCCCCATCCCCACCCCCAATTCGCTCCTCTTCTTGAAAAGAAAAAGGTATATTCTAAGTAGTGGAATAGCTGGATCGTATGGAATTTCTATGTGGAAATTTTCTTTGTGGAATTATTTTCTTTGAGGAAGCACCAAACTACTTATCAGAATGGTTGTACCATTTTAAAATCCCACCAGCAATGTATGAGAGTTCCTTTCCCATCACTTCCTCTCCAACATTTATTACTTGTTGCCCTGTTATACTTTGCTACTATTACGGGAGTGAGATGTTACCTCATTGTGATTTTGATTTGCATTTCTCTTATTGCCAGTGATTTGGAGCATTTCTTCATGTGTCTGCTTGCTATTCAAATATCTTCCTTTGTGAAAATTCTTTCCATGTCTTTTGCCCATTTTGTAATTGGGTTATCAGTCTTCTTGTGAAGGCCCAGGAGTATTTTGTAAACTTTTCTTATAAGACTCTTATCTGAGATGGTATTGCCAAATGTTTGTTCCCAGTCTGTAGGTTTTCTTTTCACTCCTTTGGAAAATTCTTTGACGTACACATGGATTTAATCTTTAGTAGGTTCCATGCATCAATTTTATCCTCTTCAGATTGTGCATTTCTGGTTGTATTTGGCAGTCTCTTTACACCTTGCACTAGAGCTTCTAAGCTAATCCTAGTTTGTCTTACTCCCAGGTCTCTGATCCACCTTGAGTTCATTTTTGTGTATGGTGTGAGATGTGGATCCTGTTTCAGATTTCTGCAGGTTGGAAGTCCAGTTTGGCCAGCACCATTTATTGAAGAGGTTGTAATTTCCCCCTTTGATAGCTTTGATTTCCTTGTAGAATATCAATTGACCATAGATAGCTGGGTCTATGTAACTTTAAAAAAAATAAGAAGAATAAGGGTGGAATACAAAAGAGCTCTGCTCCTTTTATTCTTGAAGTGTTCATCTGCCTATCTGCTAACAAACAAGGCCATTGATTATAAACCCACCAGTCACTGCATGGGAGAAAGATGTGGCAGTCTGATTCTGTAATGATTTATAGTCTTGGAAACACTATTGTAATTGTACTCTGTTTTTTAACTCACTATGAGTCAGAATCAACTCAATGAAAATGAGTTGGGTTTAATTGGTTTGTGAAAATAGTTACCAAATTTTGTTTCTCTTATTAGATGCCATTGAGTAGACCATGACTTAAAGCAATTTTATGAACAACAGGTTAAAACCTTGCCCTATCTTGTACAATCCTCATGATCTCTGATATCCGTGAGCCCATTGTTGTAGTCACTATGTCAATCCCATCCCTTTCTTTTGCTAACCTTCTACTTTTCCCTTTATGATTTCTTTTTTTCCCAAGGACTGGTGCCTTCTGACAATATGCTCAAAGTATTTGAGATGAAGGTTTACCATCACTGCCTCCAAGGAGCACCCAAGTTTTAATTCTGATTCTTATGATATTAATACATAAGCTAAATTCTCAAAACTGTGATTCTCTCTTCCCAAATTAAACTGTGGTTCCATACTTGCATAAGATAAATCAGCATTGGGCTCCAAAGTACAGTAAGTAGGAGCTATTATGATTTGCAAGGGGGAGCCATTTGTGCTAATTCTGGAATCATGGCTAATTAATGTGTTCTAGACGAGCTAAACTGTCATAGTACAGATTAGGATAATTCTCTTACCTTCAGGCCCAAATCTTCATACATTTCCTGATGTGACTCACTCTGTCCATGCTGATAGCAAGCCAACAAGAATAGTCATAAGAACAGCCAGGACTGAGAAAATAAGTGAGTCTGATACGGGACTTACTGATAGAGTAATAAAATAATTTTATCAGAGAGAAAAAAATAAAAGCAACTTTGTAAAATTTGGTTTAAAGTAATAAACATTTTTAGTGTTTCCTTTTTGCCAGATACTATTTTGGAGTACCAGTATTTTGATTCATTATTTATTGACTCTGCAAAGACATTTAATTATGTGGATTATAACAAATTTTGGCTCACATTGAGAAGAACGGGAATCCAAGAACACTTAGTTGTGCTAATGTGAAACTTATACCTAGACCAAAAGACTATTGTGCAAACAAAACAAGGGAACATTGTTGTTGTTATGTGCTGTTGAGTAGCCTGTGGCTCATAGCAATCATGTGCCAATCTCACTGTCTTCAACACACCCACCCCATTACCCCAGTCACTGAATCAATCCACCTCATAGAGGGTCTTCCTCTCCTGCGCCGTCCCTCTAGCCTCGCAAGCATGACGTCCTTCTCCAAGGACTGGTCCCTCCATGCAACATGTCCAAAGTATGGCAGATGAAGCTTCAGAATCCTCCCCTCCAATAAGCAGCCTGGTTTAACTCTCTCCGGGATGAATCTATTATTTTCTTAGCAGTCGATAGCATATTCAATACTCTTCTCCAACACCACAGCTCAAAGGCACCAATTCTCCTTCTATTCTCCCCAGTCATTGTCCAGCTCTCTGACGCATAACAAGTGATTGCAAAGACCATGATCTGTATCAGGTGCACTTTAGTCTCCAGAGTAACACAAGTGCTTTTCAGTACTTTGGAGAGGTCCCTAACAGCAGACTCCCCCACCACAATATGACTTTTCATTTCCTGGCTGCTGGTGCCAAGAGTGTTGACTGTGGGGCCAAGCAAACTAAAGCCGTGAACAATCTCAATTTCTTCACCATCCATCCTAATGCCAATTAGCCCAGTGATGAGAATCTTTATCTTCTTGATATTGAGCCTCAATCCATATTGAAACCTGCAGTCCTTGACTTTTTGCTACAAGTGCTTCAGGTCCTCCTCAGTTTGAGCAAGCTGGGTTGTGTCATCGCCATAATGCAGATTGTTGATAAGTCTACCTCCAATCCTGATGTCACTTCTTCTCATACAGCCCAGCCTCCTGGATAATCTGTTCTTCATATAGATTGAAAAGGTATGGAGATAGGGCACATCCCTGGTATACTCCCTTCCCAATTTTAACCATGCAGTGTGAAGCTAAGGAAAATTTAATCAAATCCACGGAAACCAAAATAACACCTTGAGTCTATCCCACCTGAATTTCAGAACCATCTCAGAAACAGGTTTGAGGCCTTGAACACTAACAAGCAAAGACCAGATGAGTTGTGAGAGGATATCAAGAGTATCATCTAGAAAGAGTGCAAAAGATCCTTATAAAGACAGAGGAGGAAAGCCAGACCAAAATGGATGTCAGAAGAGACTTTAAATATTGCACTAGAGTGCCAAGAAGCCAAAGCAGAGGGATGAATTCAAGATACTAAAGAGCTGAATAGAAGATTTCAAAAGGCAGTGCAGGAAGACAAAGTAAAATATTACAATGAAATGTGCAAGGAGTTAGAATCAGAAAATCAAAAGGGCTGAACTTGCTCAGCATTTCTTAAGCTCAGGGAACTGAAGAACAAATTCAAAAATTGAGTTGTAATACTTAAGGATGCTTTGGGCAGAATATTAAATTATCCAGAAAGTATTAAAAGAAGATGGAAAGAGTATACAGAGTCATTGTATCAAAAGGAATTTCAGACACAGAAGAATTTCATGAAACAACATATGAGCAAGAGCTCTTGGTTATGAAAGAAGTTCAAGCTGCTTTGAGGGAATTGGCAAAAAATAAGGCCCCAGGAATTGATGGTATATAATTGATGTATTTCAACTAACAGATGCTGGGGAGAAAGGTCAAAATCAGGACCATAGAGGTGGAAAGGCAAGCACTTGGAGTGGTGAATCAAAAACTCTAGTTTTAAGCAATCTATCCTATAATGCAACAGAAGAGACTCTTCAGGAGGTATTTGAGAAGGCAACTGCTATCAAGGTGCCACAGAACCAGAATGGCAAATCTAAAGGGTATGCATTTATAGAATTTGCTTCGTTCGAAGATGCTAAAGAAGCTTTAAATTCTTGCAATAAAAGAGAAATTGAGGGCAGAGCAATCAGGTTGGAGTTGCAGGGATCCAAGGGATCACCTAACGCTAGGGGCCAGCCAACCAAAACCCTCTTTGTCAAAGGTCTGTCTGAAGAGCCCATCGAAGAGACCTTGAAAGAGTCATTTGACGGTTCAATTCGTGCCAGAATAGTTACCGACCCAGAAACTGGTTCCTCAAAAGGGTTTGGTTTTGTAGACTTCAACAGTGAGGAGGACGCGAAAGCTGCCAAGGAGGCCATGGAAGATGGTGAAATTGATGGAAACAAAGTGACCTTGGACTGGGCCAAGCCTAAGGGTGAAGGTGGCTTTGGCGGAAGAGGTGGAGGCCGGGGCGGCTTTGGTGGCAGAGGTGGCTACGGCAGAGGTGGAGGCCGAGGCGGATTCGGAGGCCGGGGCCGTGGCGGCTTTGGTGGAGGCCGAGGTGGCTTCCGAGGAGGCAGGGGAGGCGGCGGTGACCACAAACCACAAGGAAAGAAGACGAAGTTTGAATAGTTCCCTCTTTCCCTCTTCCACTTGAAAGAAAGGACTCTGAGGTCATAGCAGAGCCTTCTGAGGACATTCCGCAACAGTAGACAGCTCTGGTCGGCTTGGAAATCTCTTCAGATAACATTTCAAGGGAAATGCCCTGTTGGTTTTGACTGGATATTCATATAAACTTTTTAAGAGATGAGTGATAGAGCTAACCCTTATCTGTAAGTTTTGAATTTATATTAAGTTTCATCCCATGTACAAAACCATTTTTCCTACAAATAGTTTTTGCGTTGGCAGGTATAAAGGAAAGCAGAATGTTTTATCCTGAATTTTGCTTCAGTGACTTTGGGGGACAAATTAAAGTCCTAAAACTCTGAAAAAAAAACAAAAAAAACCCTAACAGATGCTGTCCTAGATGTGCTCACCAAGTTGTGTCAAGAAATCTGAAAGATAACCACTTGGCCAACTGACTGGAACAGATCCATATTTGTTCTCATTACAAAGAAAGGTGATCCAACAGAGTGTGAACATTATCGAACAATATCATCGATATCAAATGCAAGCAAGATTCTGCTGAAGATTATCCAAAAACGACTGGAACAGCACATTAACAGGGAACTGCCAGAAGTCCAGGCTGTGTTAGAAGAGGTCGTGGTACTAGGGATATCGTTGCTGATGTTAGATGGATCTTGGCTGAAAGCAGGGAATACCAGAGGAATGTCTATCTGTGTTTCATTGATTATGCAAAGACATTTGACTGTGTGGATCACAACAAACTGTGGCTGACTCTGAGACCCTGAGAAGAATTGGAATCCCAGAACACTTGATCATGCTAATGCCAAAACCTATACTTGGATCTGGAGACAATTGTCAGAACAGAGCAAGGAAACACTGCATGGTTCAAAGGGAACATTACACAGTTTAAAATTAAGAAAGGTATGTACCTCGTTTATAAGCTTTCCCCATTTCTATCTAAACTATATATTGAGCAAATTATTTGAGAAGCTGGACTCTCTGAAGAAGAATGTGGTATCAGGATTGGAGAAAGACTTGTCAATAACCTTCATTATGCAGATGATACAACCTCACTTATTGAAAGTCAGGAAGACTTGAAGGACTTGCTGCAAAAGGTCAAGGACTTTAGCCTTCAATATGAATTGCATCTCAGAGTCAAGAAAACAAAAATTTTCACCACTTGATCCATAAGCAATGTCATGATAGATGGAGAAAAGACTGAAATGGTCAATGGCTTCATTTTGTTTGATCCACAATCAATAAAGGAGATTAGGAAACATTTTGTACTGGGAAAATCTGCAATCAAAAACCTTATCTACTTATTGAGGAGTAACAATTTTCATTTGAAGACTAAGGTGTACCTGATTCAGGCCATGGGCCTTTCATTCACTTGCCATGTTGATGAGAACTGGATAATGAAGATGACAGAAGACAAATTGGTGCCTTTGAACTGCCAAAAGAATAAACAGCTATATCTTGGAGCAGATGCAACCAGAGTGCTTCTTGGAGGCAAAGGTGATAAAGCTTTGTGTTTCACACTTTGGGCATGTTGCTAGGAGAGGCTGTTCCTTGGTTAGGGACATCATGCTTGGGAAGGTGATGGGGTGGCCAAAGAGAGAAAAGACCTTCAACCAGCTGGAGTGACACAGGGACAGCAGCAATGGACTCAAGTGTGTCAGAGATGGTGAGGATGACACAGGATAGGACAGAGTTCGGATTTGTTGTGCATAGAGTTGCTATGAATTGTACTTGATGGCATCTAACAACCACAGTTCTGAAGTACCAGGACTATTAAAGAAAATAAAAATAAAGCAGTAAGTCTTATCTTCTAATAACTACAACTTCTTTAAGTAAAAGCTAACGTCATTGTCAATAGCCTTCACGTAAAATCTAATTCTAATAAAATTATTTCCCATTCTTTCCCTCCTTGTTCATTCTATTCCACAATGCTTCTGAATTGTGGTGCTGGAGAACAGTAGTGAATATACCCTGGACTGCGAAAAGGAAAAACAAATCTGTCCTGGAGAAAGTGCAACCATGGTGTTCTTTAGAGGCAAGGATAATGTTGGAACTTCATCTTACATACTTTGGGCATATTGTCAGAAGAGGTGAGTCCTCGGAATAAAGCATCATGCTGGGAAAGATAGAGGGGTCAACACAAGAGATGAAGACTGTCAACGAGGTGGATTGACACAGTGACTGCAGCGGTTGCATCAAGAATGGAGCGATTGTAAGGATGGTGTAGGATAGGACACGTTTCTGTTGTTCATAGGGCCACTAGGAGTGATGGTCAACCAACAATTCCTCAGAAATTCCAGATGTATTTTTATTTTTACCTTAGGGGCTTTGCACTGTCTGTTTCTTCAGTTAGGAAACTCTTGCTATTTAAATCTGCATATCTAATGCTTTTGCCATGTTATAAGTTTTTGCTCACATGTTATCTCTTCAGTGAGACCTACTGCAACCACCTTGCTTAAAATTGTAATTCCTCCCATACTTTCTCAGTCTGCTCTATATTCCATGGCATTTGTAACTTTCCAAATTATTCTATAACATTTTTAGTATTTTCTTCCTTACTCACACCTGCATGTAACATACAGAAAGGCAGGGATTTCCATCTAACTTCTAGCAAGCACCTAAAACAGTCCTTGAAACATTGCTGAATGAACAAATGAATATAACCTTACCTCTAGATCCTGTGCAATGAAGCCGCTGGTTTTCAAATTGTTAACCTTAATATCTACTTGCAGAGATCTATTTATTACTCAGTGTGTTGGCTGCAAAATGCTTATAGTTACATGCCATCAGGTACTGTTGTTTTAAATACTCTGATTCTAAGTAGTCAGAAATGAAAGCGTACTTGGGTTTTTTATTTCTGTTTCCCCCCAACTCTAGCATTTACTCTGATCAGCTTGTTTATATTTGACTTTTTAAAACATATACATGTACATTTGTGAGAAGACACAAAACCAGCAAACATCACTTGCCTTTCCTGTAACCCAAGTCCCTCCATCCAAGAATTGAATTAGAAAAAACGTTTTATGCTCTTTTTCATCTGAGTGTTTCCTAATCCATTTGAAAAATTTTTCTACTATTATTCTATCTCCATCTCATGGACATCCTATCAGATCTCATTCATAGCTTACCTTCCAGTGGGTTTTCTGAAAGTTAAAAATTGCGTGAGAGAAGATTGTCCATCTTTCAGTCAAGGAACCACTCATGGATTCCAACAAATGCCACCTTTGGGTTAGCAAAGCAACTCCCTGTGGACTCTGCCACCAGAGCACCCTAGGACTAGTGTTATTGTTAAGTGTTCTCAAATCCACTACAAACCTGTGAGCAACAGATTCAAACTTTGCCTGATCTTGCATTCTCCTTGCAGGAGGCCACTGTTAACAATCTATCTTGTTGAGGATCTTCCTCTCTCTCTCTGACCCGTTACCTTTCCCGGAATGATGTTTTTTCCAAAATTCTGTCACCTTCTGGCAATATGCTCGAAGTAGAGGAGATCAAGTTTCACAACCCTTATCTCTAGGGAGCACTATGGTTGCACTTACAAATCATTATTTGTTCTTTTTTTTTTTTTTACTAGTTTATATACAAAATTCAAATACATTGTTTTTCACTCCAGATCATTATTTCTTCTTTTTGGCAGTCCAGGAGAGCTCTGGTGGCCTACTGGCAAGAAACTGAGCTGCAATCCCAGAGGCCTGCACTTGGAATCCACCACATGTTCTGTGGGAGAAGGATGAGCAAACTCCTCCCATGTGATTTACTATCTTTGAAAATGCCCTGGAGGCTCAGCTCAGAGTTGGTTCCGACTCCACGGTCCACAACACAAAGGGTGTACTCAATACTCTTCATCATCACAATTCAAAGGCATCAATTTTTCTTTGGTCATCCTAATTGCAACTTAAGTCCAACTTGCAGATGCATGTGAAGCAATTATTATTTTTATTATCATTATTATTACTAGATGTTTGGGGCATGTTTGTATCTTTTATACCTTTAATGTTCCTGTTTGCCCGCCCCCCATAATTAAATAATGTTATCCTTGATTTTAGTTACCTAGAGTCATTTTACCCAAGTTCTGTGCTTTTATATTGGCACCAGTCTAGCTAACATGGGACTTTTATTAGCCCTTCTGAATATTGGTATAGTTTGTTCCTGAGCTCATTTCAGAACTGCTAACTGCTCAAACTTTTTTCATTAGATGGTTCATAAAGTCATAAACCTGGATGGCATATTTTTTTTTAAAAAAAACCCAATCTTTTGGTTTTAAAAACACAAACAAAAACTCATTTGTAGAAATGTGGGAAATAATAAAAAACCCACAGACTGAAATTCAATTACTAAAGTAGAATTTTTGTTAATGTTTTGGTGTGTTCCTTTTTTTGTTGTGCACAAGTGAGCTATATGACAATCCTATGAGTTTCGTTTAATGTATCTTCAGCATTATATCTGTTTTCTTGAAAGTTTATATACTAATCATGCAGATAGATTTCTTTATTTTGGATGTAGAGCTTCCTTTTTTAGTGTTAAATATACTTTGTTTTGTGAAATAATGGTGATTAAAGTTGATAGAGATTGAGTCTTCTTTATTCTGAATGTGTATCTCATACATATTGTTAGCTTTCAAATGTCTCTTTTTAAAAAAAGAAATTATTGGCACCAGCAGTTAGGAAATAAAAAAATGAATTGCATTGGAGAATTGTGCTATCAGAGACCTCTCCAAAGTGTCAAAGAGTAATGGTGTCAGTCTAGCGGCTAAGGTGTACCTGATTCAGGCCATGGTCTTTGCAAATACTTACAATGATTCAAAGAGCTTGGCAGTGATTGAGGATAACAGAAGAAGAGTGGATACCTTTGAGTTGTGGTACTGGAGAAGACTATTGAACATACCATGGAATGCCAAGAGAACAAACAAGTCTGTCTTGGTGCAGAGGGTAAAAGAAAATTTCTTCTTGGAGGCAAGGATTTTTAAACTCAGTCTCACACACTTTGGG